TTGAATGAGTTATAAAAAGTTGTATTAAAAGTTTAGTTCACTTATGAAATACAAAATATAGTTTTATTTGAATTTTTAATAATTTGTGTTTAAATGCATTCACTTCTGGAGCTTCTCTTAAGACTTGGCTTTCAATTCATGGATCAGTTGTGCCGTCGAGTGGACAGACGTTGTGGACGGACTGCGCCTAAGAATGAGGTTTAGAAGTGGAGTTCCCTTCAAAAGGTTGTACAGGACTACAGCACCGGTATTATCTGTATCTGTATTCCTATTCCTATCTTTTTATATACTGTACTGTAGGGAAAGACCATCTAAACGATTGCAATAATAATGACAAAAAAGTCCAGAATTTCTATTATTGTTGGGTTCAGTAGGCATTGGCTATTGAATAATGGACTCAAATGTGATACAATTCATGAAATACTGAGCCATAAGTGAGTGAATAATGCCTTTAATTGAATTGATATCTGATTTCTATTGTTTAATTCAATTCTATGGCATTCAATGCGGTATAAATATTCAAAAAATATATATAAGTTGAGTTAATTAACCATGATTCATTATTAATAACAATTTATTCTGAATACAGATTCTTTATTCTGTGTTACAAAATAGACTAATCTGTGAACATTGCAAATAAAGTAGCTAGGCTATAATTGAAATATAAAAACTTTGTTATTCATGATAACTTTTTACAAATCTGTTATATTCCTCACAATCGTTATAATTTTCAATCAATTCTTATACTGTATATAATTAAATCATAACATATGAGATCTAATGAATGCACTAAATGGTCTATAAATGAAAATGAGCAATGTAGTTTCAATGTAATTTCAATGCACTTGAAGTTTATGAAGTTTGCTTCAAATCGTGTCAAACTCTATGTTGACGAGTGAGCGCAGCCTAAGAGTCACACAAATGAATGCAAACATAATGTTGTTGTGAACACCACTTCATAACACTATTGACTGAATGTATGGTTCACTCGATGTATGGATGTATTGATTGAGCCTTTGAGCCAACGATAAGGCGTTCACACAATCACTCAATCGCTGCACTCTTTAGTCAACACAACGAGTGAACCGTTTTGTATGCATTCAAGTGATCACCACATCGTTATGTCCACCCCATCCACACCACCATCCACTCAGTGACACCACACACACCCACTGAGCCATCGATGGCCACATACGGACACCTGAGTGGCGGACAGACCTCCGGCCAGCCCTACAACTCGACCACAACAGCGATGGTCCGCAAGCCTCGCAAGTGCTGCGGATTTTCGGCCCGTTTTATCCGTTACTTCCTCTTCATCTTCAACTTCATCTTCATGTTGTCCGGACTACTCATACTCGTGCTGACCATCGCGTACGGCAGACCTCACCTCGACTTAGGCGAGACTCACCTCAAGAGCATTCAGTCGCTGATACCGACCACCCATTTGGTGAATCTGATCCACTATGCGATGGTGTTGTGCGGACTCGCCATCTGTTTGATAGCACTGATCAACGCCTTCATCGGCTGCTGTAGTCACTCATCGGACCCATCGCTGGACGAGACGATTGAAATGCAGTCAGAAATAGGTCTGACGTCCGGGCGGTCGGCCATCAGAGACCGCTATAACAACAACTCAAACGCCGCCACAAATCGCATCCATCGTCAGCACAAACCAAAGAGTGGTAACTCATCGATAGTGTTGTGTTTCTTCATATTTGGTCTCCTCTTTCTGTTTACACTGCAACTGATCATCGGTTTGGTATCATTCATATCAGTCACACCTACTTCTGAAGGAAAGGACGAATTCATGGCGTCGTTGACGGAGAATCTCAACTCAACGGAACTGCTGGTCACCCATAAGACACAACTGGAGTCACTGTACGGCACATTCAAGTGCTGCGGTTGGACTCTGTATGACGACTACGAGGTCGCCAACAAATCCAATGCCGTTCCCGACGCCTGTTGTAAGACAGTTGTCGAGGGCTGCGGTCAACGCAAACACCCCTCCAATATCTACTACGACGGCTGTGTCCACAGATTCGGACCCATCCTTAAGGAGTATTTACTCGTCTTGGGATCCGTTGCGCTCGGATTCTCTATTGTCGAAGTGTTTGGTCTCATATTCTCGTGCTGTCTGTACGTTCAGTTGGCATCCGATTGACCACTGCTTATGGTTACTATTATCGCTATCTAATTAATCCATTACATCGAATACCCGGATCAAATTTCATTCATCAATCAAACATTCATGCATTCATTATTTGGTACAATATTTCTGAAATTATATATATTCTGGAGTTAATGAACAAATGATTGTTTGTTTGCAACTTTTTTACCATTTATTCAATCGCAAGCTATTTATCATTCATTTGATTACAGACCAAATGAACTCGAATTAAGACATTACTTGACATTCATATGATTTATATCTTAAATGTCTTTCAAATCCATTTTGTTTTTATCACAATTACTGTTGAATTATATTATTTGGTTAATACTTGAGCTAAAAATCACTGGCAGTTAAACCTATTCCTTATTTTACACACATTTCATTAATTATTTGAATTATTTTTGAGATTTATTTTCACTTTATTTTTATTTATATATGAATTATATTATATTTTTCTTTTGAATTCTTTATGTAATTTGCATATCATTTAAATCCAAGCGTTAAGTCTCCGTCAGAATTAAGTTTTGTTTTTTTATTCAATATTAGTATTTAATTGAATTAAAAGTGACTGCATTTAAAAATTGACTAAAATTAAAACAATATATGAGTTAAGTTTTAATTTACATTTGTATTAGATTCTCATTTTTAGTATTAATTTATTATAAACCATTACACATCATGCATATTAAAGGAATTTATAATTTAATCCCTTTATAATTAGCTGCAAATTACAGCTAAACACTAGTAGTCGTTATAAAACAGTATTAAATGCTTTCAAGTCATGTTTTACTTGAGATCAAATTATACAAATGAAAATTCAATTTATGAAATATTTATTCAATATTTAAGAAAATTAAATTGTATTGTTTTTTGAATTAAAATAGACTTATGTTATGTTTATTTGAGAATACAATAAAAATATTGAAACACACATTGGACTGGAGTTGTCTGGAGTTTACAGAAGTTAGCATTTATCGTACGGTTTGTATTTAATTATTATTATTTTTTAATTATGCGAAAAAATCATTTTCTTAATGTCTCCGGTGTTGACGTGCGCCACATATATGTCATCGCCGTATGGCATTCCTCCACGTCTTAGCGATTTGGGATCCAATGGTTCGTACGGTTCGTCGCCCAACTCCGGGCCATCATAATTCTCTGCCGCCTATTCAGTATGCGATCGGTTTTAATATGTCTTACACTCTAAGAGTGAATTGCAATCATATTCAGTACCAGTTTTCCCAACGCGAAGATACAACGCGTCACTTTTGGGATGTTCTGCAGCAGTAAGAGGTCCTCGACTTCAAACAGACACTCTTTGGCCACTCCATAGGCAGAGCACGCCTTCAGAAAGTTGTTGATATTCTCTCGCTTTTGCTTCATATTAGTTCCCGAAGTGATCTCACCTTTTATTGCACCACTCTTTATAGCATTCATTAATCTATCATAAATTATAATGAATTTATATTTGTAGCTGTGGTTATTGAATTAGCATCAAGCAAACACTTACCGGCACAGAACCACACCATCTCTGAGATACTGTTCGTAATCGAATTCACTGATCTCCTGAAGAATATTCCAAATCCATAGCAATACTTGACTTTCTCTCGTGTTTTCGACAACTCTCTGAAATACCATTTAATGATTTCTTAATTAAATATTTTATTTACAATCCATAATCAATATATGCTATTACCTTATGTGGTAATAATAAACAAGGAACTGATTCCGACATCACTTCAATTATTCGTTATTTTATAAAATATTTTGTTTAAAATTCACACTTTTTTGTTGACTTATCAAAACGAAATTCATGAGATGTTGGATATAGTCATCAAAGTCGACGCCTTCTCTCCATTTAAAGTATTTTTAAACATAGCTCTCAGTTCTCATTCACTACTTCTGAATAACATTCTGTTTATAACATTGTATAACAATAACTATAATTCTATTTCCAATAATTTGTTCATTGTCAATTTAGTTCAAATTGAAACTAAACAACCCCTATATAACCTTACGAACACTCATTCAATTAAAAACAATATCTTTTGAATAACGACGAGTTAAGATTTTACAAATTAAATTCTTCATGGTTTATATTTATTGTACTTGTTAGAATTATGTAAATATATATGAATTATAGCATTATTTTAATATAATATTTAAAATGCATTATAATTAAATGTATGTATTAGTTACATAATATAATATAGATGCCCTCTTAACGATCCCATGGATGTGGTGCTAGCATTTGTATATAAGATCATCTATTTATAACAATTTGTAAGACATATAATACACAAAACCCACGAAACAAAATGCTATGAGAAACAAAGAATATCTATTATGCAATATTGTGTTATTTTTACTCTTATGGTTTTGTAATAACTTATACCGCATTAAACTTGTCTCGAAATTTAATAACAACTAAATGTTTGTTAAAAAATGATCCCAATATTATATTTCAGTTAATGAGTTGAATTGTCTGTAGATATAATTTTTCATAGATGCAAATTAACTTAAACTTTTTCGTTATTAACACAATTATTAGCATTATTTTAATGAATTAGCTTTTGAACCCCAAGAACACAAATAAATATAATTTCCATTTAATGTATTTTATTTGTAAACACAAATTAAGTTTTGTTAATTAGTAACATTTTACTGTAATTTAACAATAAATTAAAATATAATATCAGATAGATAGATATTAGAAATTTTTTTATTTAAATAGCATACGGTATATAAAATGGTTAACAAAACAAAAATCACACTTAATAAAATACTATGGAATAATGTTAAAATTAGACGTTGTAAAACTTAATACAATATTATTAGACTATACAATTCAGTATTAAAAATGACATTATAAAATAGTTATTATAAAACTGAAATTATTGACTTTTTCATGACTTTTGTATATCTTTAATATTTATAGATTTTTAACTGATTTTCAAAAATTAAGAGAAAGTCGATTGAAATGATAGAAGAGTTCTAATTTGGGGTTCAAATCGAGTCAAATATATTTATAAGTAGATTAAGTCAATAGAATGTGACCCCAATTGGGAGAACATATCAATTTCTAAATAATCAAAATATAATACTGTATACTCAATATCATATTTATGTTTGAAATAAAGTTACTGTTAAATTAACCTTGTTAATATGAATTTATAAAGCTTTATGAATTATTATAGACAAAGTAAAATCACAAATGGGTATTTAATTGAGACAAATTCTCTGTACAGTACTGAATGTCACATCATTTAAATCAAGGCTCGTAAATAACTTTTAGCACTTTAATGATATATTTAGGGAATTCATACTATTTTATATTATTATAATAGTTTTGGGTTTTAAGTTTACTTTTTCAAATACAATATTTTTGATAAATATGGAAATATTAAAATGTGTATTTACTATTAAAAGTAATATTAAAATTTTAGTTTTAATAAGTATATTTACCAACTTTTATACCAGCTTACATATTTTGGCTTAAGTGTAGTGTAGCTTTTAGTTTATAAATACAGTACATTTAACTTATTTTTCAGAAATAATAAAGCTATTCTTAATTTCTTTATATTTTAGACCTACAGTATACAGTATACAATATACAGTACACTGTATACTATACACTAAAATACGTGTATTTTATAATACAAACAAATAAACACACGATTGAATGAAAAGAGCAAACAAAAGATATTTTATTCAAATTAATTTTTAACGCTAATTTGTTTTATTAGCAGACATTAGATCTATGCGGTGAATTAAACTACATTTACAAATGTGTAATAATTTGGAAATATAGGACATATCCTAAAAACAAGTTTAAGAAAACAAAATTCAAAATCAAGTCATAATAAATAGTTATTTCACGGCCAAAGACATGCCGATTGGCACTTATATAACAATATGTTATTCTCTCCATTATTAGACCACTTGTTATCGCAAAACAAGTAAATTTCTAATAACTAATAAATAATGTTAAAAATCTTGAGAACTACATTATTCTTA